GAATAAGATTGATGCACTGAAAATCTAACGTTGTGCTGCTTGAACTGATACGGCATCCTAACCAATAACACTATTAATACCGCACAATCAGTGGGAATAAATCAAAAACGAACAGTATAAGCGGAATTGAAGAATCCCCTGATAAGCCAGTAGCAAATTCAAGAGGATAGAAAGATGTCAGCTGGAGTTAACTTCCAAGAATTTTTTCTAGTTCATCATTTACTGGTAGTGTCTAAATGATATACAAGTAGGATAACGATACAAAAACTATTTCAATTAAAGTAAAAAACAATACCTAATTAATTTACAATACTTTGCTGCAATTGTAATAAGGATTTTATCTGATAAGAGCCGCAAGGAGGATCTTGGGAATATTCCCAAAAGGGTCTTTTACTGATGAAAAACCGAAGCGGCTTATTGTGGAGAGTTGTACGCGCCCAGACTATTAGATTACTTACCACAGAAATACCATACAAATTTGCATAGCGCAATGAATACTTTTTCCGAAGATAAATGGTATTACTTACATATAATATCTGGTTATTATTGTAAATAACTTTGTATCAATTTTATTCTATACAGCCACAGTTTATGCATCAGTAGACGGTAACTTGTCCGTAGCTCGTATTGAACGTTTAATTTGCTGGCGAGTCGAATGAAAATAGACAAATTACCGAACTGTAACTTTGATTAGTAGAAACTTTGGAAAACCAATCTCCTTAACCATATCCACCACGAAGTAGAAAACGAATTAAAATAAAATTGTTTAAAAAATTAAAATATTTATTTTTCGTTAACAAATTGTATTTATTTCATCAGTTCGTAAACTATAATAGTTTTAAATTGGATCCCAATTCATCTACATTTTTTTTCTATATCCGGTCCAATGGCCCAAAAACTGTTCTGTACCAGCTTCTAATGCGCTACGTCCTGCATTCTAGTACTTAATTCAGCGATACACTGCATTTTTAGCACGATTTGTAAATTTGTAGCTCTTCTAAGTATTTACACGCATACAATTTTGGGCCCAAATTGTATTGCGTGTAAATACCTTAGAAGAGCTTACAATTTACAAAATCGTGCTAAAATGCAGGTGTAATCGCTGAATTAGTACGAGATGCAGGACGTACGCAATTAGAAGCTGGTACAGCAACAGTTTTGGGCATTGGACCGGATATAGAAAAAAATGTAGATGAATTGGTATCCAATTTAAAACTATTATAGTTTACGAACTGATGAAATAAATACAATTTGTTAACGAAAAAATAAATATTTTATTTTTAACAAATTTTATTTTAATTCGTTTTCTTACTTCGTGTGGATATGGTTAAGGAGATTGGTTTTCCAAAAGTTTCTACTAAATCAGAAGTTACACGTTCGGTAATTTGTCTTAATTTTCCATTCGACTCGCCACAAATTAAACGTTCAATACGAGCTGACGGACAAGTTACCTCTACTGATGCATAAACTGTGCCTGTATAGAAAAAGATTGATACACAAGTATTTACAATAATAACAGATATTATATGTAAGTAATACCATTATCTTCGGAAAAGTATTCAATTGCGCTATGCAAATTGTATGGTATTTCTTGTGGTAAGTAATCTAATAGTCTGGCGCGTACACTCTCCACAATAAGCGCTTCCGGTTTTTCATCAGTAAAAGACCCTTTGGAATATTCCCAAGATCGCTCCTTTGCGGCTCTTATCAGATAATCCTTATTACAATTGCAGCAAAGTATTGTAAATTAATTAGTATTGTTTTTACTTTAATTGAAATAGTTTGTATCGTTATCCTTACTTGTATATCATTTAGACCACTACCAGTAATGGATGAAACTAGAAAAACTTCTTGGAAGTTACTCCAGCTGACATCTTTCTTATCCTCTGAATTTGCTACTGGCTTATCAGGGGATTCTTCAATTCGCTTATACTGTCGTTTTTGATTTTTATTCCCAACTGATTGTGCGGTATTAATAGTGTTATTGGTTAGGATGCGTATCAGTTCAAGCAGCACACGTTTAGATTTCAGTGCATCAATCTTATTCAAAATCAAAAAGCTTGGTAAATGTTTGTATTCATTCAGTGTTTCGATCACAGTGGAATGTAAAGCGTTACGCGTCCATGAATTGGATACATCATGCATACAAGCGATAATATCTGCATGTTGAATTGCATGTTTGTAGGCGCTTTTGAAACTTTGTTCCAAATTATGCCTTTTAATTTCACGTGGTGTAACTAAACCTGGTGTATCATAGAAGACAAGTTGGGTTTGTCCCGTTGTATAAATTGCTTTGCTGGATTTTCGTGTTGTATGCACTTTAGACGAAGTCGGACATACCTAAGCAGCAAAGTCAATTATAAAGCTCAATTGAAATTTTTCGTAGCAACGCTTACCCGATGATTAATTAAGTTGTTAATAAATGTACTTTTTCCTGCGTTTGGAACGCCAATAACCGCTATATGCAATGAATTCTGCGTGCGTTTATGTTGTGCTTTCTGGTCATGGGTAGTAAGGTCTGTCGTGTCGGCAGATGCAGAAAACTTTGCAGTAGCAGAGCTATCATGCAATGATGATAAACTATAGCTACGTATATTTCCTGTCCGAACTTCATTATATTTGCTAAATCTTAGCAAATATTTTGTTACTCCACCAAAATTACTCAACAATAATTCCATTATCGCATTAGAACTGTGTGATTGCAAAATAATTTTAAGAATAATTGCGAAAAGCAAAGCAAAACAGAATAAAAGAAGATACCAGATGTACAAGTTGTTTTAATTTTTGTTTTTCCGATATATTCTACACATTCTTGTTTAGATGCTTAAAGTCCAGAAACCATTGTATTGTAACAGTGAAAATTGAAAATAGCTGTAGAACTACTATTTTAGGTGTGGAGGTATTATATATATGTATTTTCTAATAATAAGTTTATAACAAAAACTGCTGGCTCACAATAAATTGTATTTTGCAAACGATAAAATCTCATTTACGAAGGAAACTGTAATCGGTAAAGAATTTGCGTTACTCTTTTATCGGTAGCAATAGATTAACTATCTCTATGTTATCGGTATAATATCTGAGAGTACGTTTTCAGATTGCATTTAATTTGGCTTATTCTTCGTCTCGTTTGTCTGTCACAAACAGCTGAACTGAATCAACGTATTTATCTTTATTAATAATACTTATAACAATAAAATTTATATACAAAATTTTAAGTTTGGTGTATAGAGTTAATTATTTTAAATGCAAATCATAATAAATTTAAAAATGCCAGAAGTTGAGCAGTGCAGATAATTGCGGAGTCTCTAAAAGAGCAGGTATGTAAAGTGTTCATAAAGGGCTGCTGATAGTAACCCAAAATGGGTTTCTTAAACATAATAACAAATTATCCAATGATTATGTTATTTTGTTATATTCTTAATATATTTATAGATTTATAATATAAAATAGGATTTTTGGTATAAGGCTATAAAGCCTTATTGCTTTAAATTAGCAAATGTATGATAGTTTTTATATATATATAGATAATATTTTAATATAAGACTACCATATTCCGGTGGGTTTTTGCACCATATTTTCGCCATCATTTCACAGTACTTACTTTTTATCAGCTGCAAAGTTCGTTGATCAAAGTACACCTGTAAAATAGTAATTATGCACCAATATATATTTGATCTTTGTGAGCTGAATTAATAAGGCATATATATGCTAATGAACCCTCACAATCAGATTAAGTTTACTTAATCTTCGCGCTGCAGCCCTTATCAAAAAATGCCACGATAACTTTTCGTAAAAATAAAGATAACCATACAGAAAATAATTCAGTTATGCATGTTATACGCATATACACATACATATACAGATATAATAAAATATTTACTAGACGTAAGTAAATGTACTACAATGTTTTGATTTCAAAGAATATTTGAATGAAATGCAATTTATTTCGGAATATGGTGCAAAAGCTCTCTATAATTATAAGAAAATGTCGGAGGTCCTAACTAGTCTCTCAGTTTTTGAGGATCGATCTGAAATCTTGCACACGTCCTTTTTCTCCAAGAAGCTGCTCATTTGTCGTACCGTCGACGTCGAAACATTACAGCTTATAGCTGCCATACAAACTGATAAATTTAAGTTCAGTCCTTGTATGGAAGATTTCTTTTATAACGTAATATCTTAACGAAATTTGGCACAGAGTATTGTCCAAAGCAACGGTACAATTTTCGAAGAAATTATACAGATCGGACCAATATAGCATATCGCTGCCATAGAAATTGACCGTTTAAAATTAAGTTAAAAATCTTTTCATACTCTTTAATGCTATAAAAATATACTTCTGAAGGTAAGTTAACGGTTTTTCTTGTTTACATTCAGTTAAGAAATTTTGATGTGCTAAGTTTTAATAATTTTTTATACTCTTTACAGGGTGTAGAATATGTCTTCGGTATTATCGGCATACCTGTTATTGAACTATCGATGGCTTTTCAAGCTGCTGGCCTTAAGACATTGGAATGCGTAACGAGCAGTCAGCTTGCTATGCCGCTCAGGCAATTGGCTTTTAACTGGCAAACCTGCTGTTTGTCTTGTTGTTTCTGGACCAGGATTGCTGCATGTAACCGGTATGTGATAGGCTAAACAAATATTATGACACAAATTAAAAGATCTCTCCTTAATAGGTGGTATGGCGAATGCGCAAGTGAATTGTTGGCCACTGCTGGTAATTGTGGTTCAACCAGTCAGGTCATGAGGAATTGGCGGTTTTCAGGAGTATCCGCAAGTGGAAATGTCACGTCCATACTGCAAGTATGCGGCTCGACCGCCTACCGCATCGCTGATACCATTGCATGTGGAGAAGGCTGTGCGTTATGCGACATACGGACGACCAGGTGTCTCTTATCTTGATTTCCGGCAATTTGTTGCAATCGCGTGTGGAACAAGACAAGATCTATAAACATTGTCACATCCAGTTGCGCCACTAGTGTATCCGGCACATGACGATGTTATACGTGCTGGTAATTTGTTGCGTACAGCAAAGCGTCCACTTGTTATCATCGGAAAGGTGCCGCCTACGCACATGCCGAAAATATTTTACGACATTTCATTGAGAACACCAATTTGCCCTTCCTGCCAACACCAATGGGCAAAGTGTTGTTTCGATACGGCGCCACAATGTGTCTCCTCTGCTCGTTCGTTGGCATTGCAAAGGCAGATGTTGTGTTGTTGTTGGGTGCACGTCTAAATTGATACTGCATTTTGGCAAGCCACCACGCTACAGTGCCGATGTCAAATTTATTCAAGTATGTACTTAGAAAAATATATCGTATTTTCTCTTTGTCTAAATACTTTGAATTCAACAGGTCGACATTTGTCCAGAAGAATTGCATAATTCCGTTCAAGCTTCGATCGCCATACAATCGGATATTAAACCGTTTGCCGAACAAATGTTTGAGCAGATGAACGCAGTGAATTTCGAATTTCCAAGTGACAATCCCTGGTGGGAAGAGCTAAGCGACAAATGCAAGCGCAATCGCGAACAAGTGCGCAGCATGGCTTTACAGACTGCTTCGCCGCTAAATTACTATACCGTTTTCATCATCTGCGTGAGTTGATACCACGCGATGCCATCATTGTAAGCGAGGGTGCCAACACCATGGATATTGGACGTACAATGCTTTTCAACATACTGCCACGTCATCGTTTAGATGCTGGCACTTTGCACAATGGGCGTTGGACCCGGTTTCGCTATTGCAGCAGCACTGTATTGCCGCGATCGTTATCCTGGCAAGCGTGTAATATGCGTGGAAGGTGATAGCGCTTTCGGCTTTTCCGGCATGGAACTGGAGACTATGGTGCGCTACAGCTACCAATTACGATTGTTATTGTTAACAATAACGGTATTTATGGTGGTTTCGATCAGAAACATTCGATGCCATACGAAATGCCGGCGATTTGTCACAAGTGTAAGTTGTCAAACAGAAAATTTTAAATATTTTCATTTTTATTTGCTTTGCTCGTTTATGATTTTAGCACACCGCCATCCGCTTTGGGTGTTCAAGTGCGCTATGAGGAAATGATGAAAATGTTCGGTTTGCAAGGTTACTTCTGCAAGGAGATACCAGAACTGCAGGCAGCGCTGAGGGAGGCACAAAAACTGTCCGACAAGCCAACCATTATTAATGTAGCCATAAATCCGTCATCGGATCGCAAGCCACAGACATTTAACTGGCTAACTGAGTCAAAATTGTAAACTTTTCTTTACGTAAATGCGATTTCCTGTAAACAAGCGCGAAATCGTGAACAATTGCTTTCATATACTTGCATACAAACACACTATACATATATACATTAAACTGAAGAGCATTGTTACGAAAGTTGTGAAATGAATGCCTATTTAAGCTATGTATTTTCTGCGCCAGTGGCATAATTACGGGTAGTTGCTATTTATAGGAATTTAATTCCTTTTATTTAAGCTAAAACGTTTTTATTTGTGTGTGTTTTGTATACTTGAAATAATATTAAATATTGGTTGTGGTCACTGTAGTAGTAACAATGCTCAAGTATTGGCTTTTGTAGTAACAGTTATAAATGTTTTTTTTCGCACATTCCAACTTTTTGTAAACAATATAACGGCACTTTAGTGAATGTTTGTGCATATGAATTTGTCCTTTATGTGAAATTGTCTTAAGCAGATTTTATGAATTATATACCATACATACTACATACATATTTATATGCATCTGTGCTTATTAAATTTATATATGAACACTCTTTGAAATACCAAATTAATTTAATTTATCAACTAAATTTCTATTCAGCATTTTCACTCCATGTATACGTTTATGTGTACTTGCGAACACGATACAGCGCGTTACGAATTAAAAAAAAAAAAAACGCTAACTTCGGCTGTACCGAAGCTATAATACCCTTCACAGGTGTATTTCGTAAAGCATAAAAGGTATAAAATATGTTTATTTTGATTTTGATTGCGCATTTGTATGGCAGCTATATGTTATAGTGGTCCGTTATGCACAATTTCTTCGGAGATTATTCCGTTGTCTTGATTAATCATTCGTGCCAAATTTCGTGAAGATATCTCGTGCAATAAAAACTTCTCCAAACAACAACTTTATTTTGAGCGTTCAGTTTGTATGGCAGCTATATGCTATATGTTCCGTATTGCACAATTTTCTGGAGATTGCATAAATGGCTTAGACAATAACCCTGCCGAATTTCGTGAAGATAGCTCGTCCAATAGAAAGTTTTCTATACAAGCATTTAATTCCGATATTCATTTTGTATGGCAGCTATATGTTATAGTAGCCCGATATCGTTGGTTCCGACAAAATTAGCAGTTTTTGGGGAAAAATTGCGTATGCGAGATCGATGTCTCGTGAATGAGCAACTAGTTCGCGTACATGCGCAGATGGACGTACTTAGCTTGACACGCTCATCATTTATATTATATATACATATATTTTATACTACTATTACTGTTTTCGTTGCAGTCGTTTACAAAAATCTTTACGAGAAGCGTTTATTTTTTTTTTTCTTTTTTGTTTTTTGGTGGTGTAAGTGTGATAGTATAAAATAAAATTAATTGACAAAAATTTGAATCTTATGAAAATTATATTGCAAGTCTTCATTATTAAGTTAATTAGTCCAAGCGTCTAGAATTCTAACTCGCCAATTCTTCCTTTGGCTTCGCCTCCTCATCCAAACCTAAGTATTGCAGGAAGCAGCTTATATTCACTAGACGACCCTTATGTAGGAACGGTATCTTGGGACATAGTTCGAAATTGATATTCATTGGCGCTATATCAGGCACTTTGCCGCAACCCATATCAATGAAGTTCAGGAAATCGCATACCTCAACCTCGCCGCAATCATTATGATTTAAAACGCTGAGTAGATCATCAATTAGTTCCGGTATGAATGGCAGGCGACAGCCCTTCATTGTCGAGCGTAATTTCGCCTCGGAGAGGAATGGTTTGTTCAACGGATTGATGTGGTGCAAGTGCTCCTTCAACTCATCCATTGCATTCCACAGCGAACGTTTCAACTCCAAGTGCACCGCAGCGCGTACCGTCTCCCGATTGCATGCCTGTGGCGGTGCTTTTTCAGCCGAGAAGTAACGACAGACCGTAATAATTTCGTGATTGGTGATGTCATCAGCTAGCAGATTGATAAGTGCGCGCTTGAGTGAATCGAAACCAATAAATTGCACATCCTTAACAGATTCAGCGCCCTCGGGTAGGCAACGGCAAAGGAAGCCCTTGTAATCGGACTTCGCTGCATCGCAATTTTCAGCATAATTGACTTGATATCGGCCATTGGATACTGCAAATACAAAGAATATGAATATGTCTAACATTTTATATACCGTTATAGCGTATGCGTCAGCCACCTCATATGGATGGTGCTCATGTAAATAAGCGTATACTCATCGCGCGAAACAATGTGAAAGATGTGATCCTTGAGGCTCATTGTGGCACCAATATAAAATTGTATGGCTGATAGTATTGTGGACGCTTCGAGGTGAACTTCTCTTGGCCCGGCAGTGGTATGCGTGTACGTTTCATAAATTCGCCACCCAAGAAACCGGAATTACGTTCGGCAATCTCAAATATTTGTATGGTATCATCGGATAGGTAATAGGATATAATGAAAATGCGTTCACAATCTCACGTATGGTCGATAATAGTTTAGCGCCAAACCTAAGCACGTAACGATCCAGTTTGAATTTCTTAAAATCAGTTTGCGGCGGTTTGGGTTCGACTGAGATGCAATTGCCCTCGGAATCCTCATATGAACCCCAGCCATTATAGGGTGCAGTATGCGTTCCTTTGTTTAATCGGCGCACAATCGTCGCCACGTGACGGTATTGGTGCAGCAGTAAAGTTCTCAATACCATACTGAAATGATCGTGGAATGGGAGAGCAAATGAGTTTAGAAAATGCGTGCAAATGTCAGTGTAAGCGGAAGTGTTACAAACCCGTTTTCATAATACTCCTGCGTGTATTCATCACAATCCGTAAGCACCACAGCACGTCCGTACACATTTAGCACGGTGCCGATTTGTAGATCACGATCGGCATAGTAGAGCACCTCTTTTTCGCCATATTCAGTGGATCAATGGTGTAGCGTACATTTCGCATGCTTGTGCCGAGCACATTCAATAGCGTTTGTGGTGTTTCTTGCCCAGGTAGTGGTAGGCCATTGAATTCCTTGAAATAAATAAAACCCAGTAATTGTTTCTATAGACATTTTCAACTTTGTGAACGCCTAACGCCATTTCGAGATATCGAGTTATGTGCAAAAGTGGCGTAAAAATATACTCTCTTCTATCGTTCTTAAAAATCACACTTTAGTTGGTCTGAGCTACTAGTGTATGAAGACGTATTACTTCGACATGAGGACCTCTTAAATTTTAGCTAGTACTCTGTACGAAAGTTTTGATATTATGTCCGTTAAGACGCTGAGATACCTATTTTCGATTTTGTCATTGACGCTTCATTATAGCGCTAGAGAAGAAAAATATCTAGCAGTAGATGGACCGACTGATCCATTCAAATATTATTTAAGGGTCTAATATGTTTCCACACAGGGATTGTATCGTCTCACTAGCACCCAGCAGAATTTTGGAATTTATCAACATGCTGGGCCTAGATGATACGATATGACTTAGGGGAGGCACAATAGACCATAGGTCGCGGTGCATACCTCAAAATTAATCTAATCTAATCTAATCTAAGGGGTCTAATATAGTATGACATGTAATTAGTCTGCCGAGTATACTAAAGCGCTTTGGAGCAACGGATGTGGTTCACTATCAATTTATGTATTACGAATATGACATTATCGAAAGATTTTGTATGGAATTTTCTTCAGTAAAGCAATAACACTATTGATATCAAATGGCGTTAATAAGTAACGGTACTAATTTGACAATTGCGCTTTACTCAATCCACATTTCTATCAATTACTTACCCTTGGCAGTTTTCCCCTTTTCAAGAAGAGCGATGGACCTTCACGCCCTGAATTACGTGGAAAAATTTCTTTTATATCCATTGTACATCAGCCAAATAATAGCATATTTCTAAACGACGAACATCACCGAACTCCGAACGATCATCCCAGTAGCCGTGGAATTTTAACACTTTCCGATCGAATGCTAAAAATGTGCGAAGAATGCTTTTTTGGTGGTTGATGTGTATCTTTCGCGCCGATCGTTTACGCATTCTTGTTGGGATCACTGAAAAGGCATTAAAATTTTAGTTGACGTTGAAACTATATATGTACGACAATTGTTGCCGCAACATACACTGCATATCGACGGGATCTGGTACGGCTATACCCGAACGATTTAGGAAATGTCGCGTAAAAAGATCACAATTTGTAATGTGATAAATGCGATCGAATATTTGTATGCTCGTATCGACGTTAAGATCCAATATCGAGATGAATTCATTTTGGCACGGCGGTGGTTTCGGTATGCGCTGACGATGCACCAGACAACCTTGCGGTATACCCGAGTTGTCCACTTTCGGTTCAGTGATTTGCATGGTGCCATCTTCCAGATAATACATAATCTTGACTTTACGCACTTGATAGGTGCATTGTAGACCTCGTGTAGAGTCTCCTTAAAGAATGCATCAAAACGAGCACTTTCTTATCGTAAGCAATCCATGGTGGCAGTTTGGGTCCAGTCTTTGGCGGATACAGTGATGGTGTGGCTGTCGGTGGGCAATTGATATCAATGCACATGCCACCAACGTCCACCATGGCGGGTGGTTGGCGATCGTTTAACATACTAATGCCTTGGAAATTCATAAGGCTCTGCGGCTTGGGGAAGTTCGTGCGTGATAGCTGGAAATGTATGCTGTATATATGTACATATAGTTTGATACTCACATTTTTGTATGCATGTTGTTTCGGTGTGCATATGTATTGTTTAATGTAACACTTACATCCCGAAAGGTGGTGCCCGGCAGAACGGCATTCCTGGTATACGCAGCATTTTGGTTTAGTTTTTTGAAGCGCTTTCTAATAGAAAATATGTAAAAATCGTTAGGTTTGCGGTAAAAATCAATACAAAATAAACGCGTTTGTTTAAAATTTCTTTTTTACAATTTTCGTAAAATTTTACAAAAACACGAACGAAATCTGTAGTTTTAGTAAATATTTGTTCGAAAAGTTTTACGTATATAATTTTTTATTATTGTTATTTTAAAAACGCTTTGTATGTCACTTATTTATTTTGCTTTTTGTGCTACTTTTTTCCCAAGTGTTTAGTGTTTACTAGGTTTGCAGCGACAAACTGCATAAACAGAAATATGTATTGTGTGTACGTAGTAAAGTAAATATGGACTAAACAATACACATCTACGTGTGTGAGCTGAACGCGACTGGTTGCTATGACGCTCTTTTTTTTGGTTGTCGGGCGAGCCATTTAATATAAGTACCGCAAAATTTTCTGAACTTGCCGTGAGTTTATAATGCATTCTTGAACGGAATTGCAATAAGACGCTTTACAGTTTTTACATGCTGTATACCCTTTCGTTAGACGTCTTTATGCTAACCTTTTGAAAGAGTCGAAAGAAAGACGCTCAAATAAAGATTTATGTTAAGTCGCCAAAACTTAACTTAATGTAAAGCTAAACAGCTTTCAAGGCCTACAAAAATGCAAAGAGAGCTGCTAAAGTTAGGACTACTGTTCGACATGTGGCGAGGCATAAGCGCACTACCAGCATCTTTGTTCGGCTTCGATTATAGCGATTCATCATTTTTATAAGCTTGGCAGTTGAGATGCTTAGATATAAATTCGTTAATCATATCAATAGCTTAAGGACAGTTTATAGTAAACAATTTAGTATTCTAGGCCTAGGATTGCATACATTAAACCGGGTCCACAATACATCAACTTCTTTTTCTATAAATGACAGTATTGCAAGATTCTGTGTGCTAAAAATGTGTTAAAAAATACTCATTAAAGAGATTATTCTTAGAACTCATTACTTAAATGTCTTCGGTATAACCGCCTTTAGGTACCACAACAGACCGGCGTTTAAGCTGCCCAAGTGAGAATCCTTCTTGGGATCGATCTCCTAACTAACCTTACCTAACCTAATATCTTTAGGAATCGAGATCATAAGATTTACTTCAAATATATGCTAAAAGCAGTTATGTAATATATTTCAACCATTTATTGTTTTAAATTTCGCATAATGATTTCGTAAATATAGTCAAATTAGTACATATTCACAATTTGGACTCAATATGTATAGCTAGCATGCCGTCTTCTCTTCATTTTGACCGATAGAAATGTTAGCGCGTCCATCCGAGCCGACAACAACACGCTTGCCAGAGCAATTATTAGAGTCTGATTTGTCGCCAGAAATGATATCACAAATAAGTGCCAGCTGGCAAGCAGGTCTGCAGCGCAGTATTAAGTTCATAAGAGTCTCCATTAATTGCACGAAGCCTTTGTTGCCCGACAGAAGCTGATCTGGTTGCTGCCATTGTCCCACCAGTTCTGCACATTAGTACCAGCCACGATGTTCCTGGAAGCCAACCATGTTGTAAATTTGACGCAACGATGTTCACATACCCAGCCACCGCCACAGGAATTATCCGCATTGAATATGGGTGTAGCAATGTTATTACCGTTGGTTGTTGGTGGACCTTGATCGGTGTTGTCGAATGCAAACGAAGAACATGACACGCGTAATGCCAAATGGATGAGCCAACATGAAAGCACTGGCCATTTATATTGCTTTGCTGTCTTATAGTTGAGTATATCCGCACCACCAGCGCCATGTCCACGTTGATTGTCGTGGTTATCTACGAAAACCAATGCCCGATCCGAGTGAGAAAACTCCACTCTGGACCCCAGTTGATCAGCCAACGCAGCTGATCCTTGCCACGAAATACTTTACCGATCGAATTGGAGTGTGCGAATTCGGTGACTACACCCTGTTGGTGTATTCATTTTTGGAAATGGCCTCACCACCTAAATCTATAACTTCTGGAATATGAAAGGACGCGTACCGGTAGGGAAACCATGTTCAGCGTTTAAATTACTAACACGATTGTAGATTACCTAAGCGTGAAAAGTAACATATTCCTATTCATAATGGATTTTTGACGGCTAATTTACCTCGAGATCAGCCGGCCACATATGCTTGGCAGCATCCACACGGAAACCAGCTACACCCAGACTAACAAGTTTGTTGAGAAAATCGACTACACGATCTTGCACCCATGATTTGCTTTGATCCAAGTCCTTCAAACCGGCGAGTCACAGTACGCACCTCGCTACTTATTATTGTAGTCATTAATTGTGCATGTGGCGTGAAATCTGTGTTCGAATAAGGCACAGCGGGAAGCTTTTATTACTCGGATCGGCCTTTGAACCACCAGTACCATGCGCATTAACATTATCGGCGGCCATATGGTTGAATACGACATCTACAAAGATTCGAACACCGGCATTGTTGCAGCGCTTCACCATATTCGCAAATTGTTGTTCGTTGCCCGAACGTGTGGTCAGTAGGTATGAGATGGGTTGGTAACGTTCCCCCACGGACGATTGCCCACAACGACATTCTCATTTACTGGTGAAACCTATTGATTAGGGTTATGTGGGTTTTAGCAAGAGAATACGGCAAGCTTCTTTCTAAGAATGTTATTTGGTCACTATTGACTCACCTGAACACCGCCATAGCCTTTTGGGGCCAAAAAGTTTTCACATTCTACAGCGATATCATCCCACTTCCACTCGAAAAGTGCACCATAGTAGTCCTTCCTCCCACATAGTTCGGATCAAATTGAGCATTGATAGTTTGGCACGATATTGCCAAGATTACTGCCAAGCAGATAGGCGCTTTGCTCGATACATTGTTGCAGTTGATAACGTCTACTAGGCGGTGTTATAATATGTAAACAAAACTTACGAAGTTCTCTTCTATAGAATATGAAACGAAAACTACTTAGCGTCGCTTTTGAAGACGCCTCTTTTATAGAAATTCTGTTAGATTAGTTTATAAATTGTCAGTGAGTTTATAGTGTAGTTGTAGCAGTGAATAATGCAGTTGTGCATGCTGAATCTATTGGCTTTAATAAACGGTTATCGCGTTGCTAATCAGAAAATCATTCATCAATTGAGAATTCATTGAAGAGCCGACACAGCTCAAATTACTACGCATAACTTTTGCTTTTTAAGCGATCTATCACTAGGATAAGTTGTAATGTAGTTTAGAGATACCTACGATTATATATTGGGCTGAAGAACTATGATTGTGAGATCACTAATAAAAGAGATGATACAAAGAGTTGTTCTTGGCTTTTGAATAGGAAAAGCTTTAAGGCTACTCATTCAATTTTAAGGTACTTATATAGCATAAGTATGTGTTACTGAAAAAGTCAGCGCGGTCTCAAAACCGAAGAGAATACTACAATACTTACGAAGTGACTTCGACCTTAGTTCGATACAGTCTTGAAAATAAATATACTACTAGTAAATACGTTTGTTTAAGTGGAGTGGACATAATTATTTACATTACAGGGATCTCCAAAGAAGGCTTCAGGATAAAGAGAAAAATAATTTGCCGATAGCATGCAGATTCCTCTCGTCATTGCTTGTTAATTAAGTTCACTGTCACTACAGTGGAATCGTTTTCCAAAATATATATTATTTACTCTAACTCCGGTTGGAGCTTAGGGTCAATATGGTTTCATTAATCAAGTATCAGCAGAAATATGGTTTCCTATTTCGTTGTATGACTGCCACCTTGACCTAAGAACCTGTCATAAATGTACATGTTTATAATGCGTTTATAACCCAAGCCGCTTGCTCCAAGACCGACGCCCGCTGTAGTCGTCACTATCATGTGAAACAGACGCTACGACATACGTGCAGAGCATTTGTTATGTGGTTTGATTTGTGGTAGCTTCGGTGCTCACATTCGGCCTTACAGATTTGGGAAGCCCTGCCAGTAGCTAAGCTACCGCCGTCATTACTCTCAAGATCATTGGCCTTACTAATTCCCTCAATGCAATAAGATAATAATCTTCGAGGAGATTTTTTCAAGATTATGTAAAAAAATTTCCACTCAGAAGGTTCCCTTTTACATTTCCGGCATATTTTCGATTTATGTGCCGTTAAAATTATAAGGTATGATATGACTGTTACTTGAATATCATATTTCTTCGCTTGGTTACTCGGCAAGCAAAGTCAATCACTATTGACTACCAGAAACAACTTGTGTATGCAGATTGCTTTTGAGTAGTAATCAATTGTATAGTTCGACAATGCTGTTAGTTTTGAAAACGAGTTATTCTTCATTTGTATTAATTGGTTTAGAAAACTCGCAATAATGAAACCGCTGATACGGTGAAATGATAAAATTTTCCGCTAGTGAATAACAACGACACTTTGTTGTTGTTATGAACGGAGTTTCTAATGGGTAAACAAAGTATTTGAAAATAAATAGCTACGGTTTTTTCATACACCTATGTTGAAGAAGTTGAGGTATATTACCGTATACATATGTATATGGTTTAAAAAATTTGTATCCTCGCTATGAATTTAAAAAAAACTGTTAAGAATTTTTGAGAAAAAGAAGCGGTAATCTTGAAAACCTGTTAGTCTGAGTATTTTTTCAGATCTCGCCTATCACAACGTTCAAGCTGAAAGGAAGGGGAAATTTAGGCAATACATAAAATTTAGTATAAGTAGGTTACGGAAAACGGCCCCGAGCTTACTTCACGCCTGTTTACATTTTATGAGGTAAATGGCATATTAATTAAAGTTCACAACCTTTTTTAATTTAACCAAGACAACAACTTTTGTTTACATTTGGTGTCATAACATTTTTGTTTACATTAGCAAGACCAACAACCTTTGTTTACATTTGGGTTCAATAACCCTTTTGTTTAGATATTTGGGGGAAAATGACCCATTTGTTTATATTATGAGGTCAATGACCTTTTTGTTTACGTTCTCCGCGAGGTCAATGACCACTTTTTACATTTTATGCGGTCAATGACCCTTTTTTTACATTTAGCCAAGACAACAACCTTTGTTTACTCTTGCGCTTAATAACCCTTTGTTTACATATTTAGGGACAATGACATACATATTTTTACACTCTCGACAAATTGTCCAGATCGGATCACTGTAAGATATAGGCGTCGTACAAGCTGACCAATCATGTTGTTTTTAATATTTGAAACCTGAGCAGGTATATTAGTTTGACACGGTGTTTTCAAAGTAGACAGAAACAGACAGATGGGACATGGCTAATCGACTCCGCTTATCATGCTGACCATTTATGGATATATTTTATGGGGCTCCGACGTTTCTTCTGGATGTTACAAACTTCGTGGCAAGCGTTATACCCTGTTCACGGTTATAAAAAGATCTTTATAAAGTCAGTTTGTTATGACAGCTCATATACTTGTATGTTTTTCATACAAGCTCTTGTTTTGATCGTTCCGTCAAATGAGCAGCTTTGTGGGAAGAAATTAATGATATACATATACAATATCTCAATTATTTGTTGTATTACATATAATGTGCTCAGTTGTTGACAAACTATAAATCTTTAGATTTATTTCATTCTCGGCGCTGCTTGTTTATTGCTATATTATTATTTGACACATTTGAGTAATATGCAGAGTAATTAATTCTCGTTAGAGATAACAGCGCATGCTCATAATTATCGGTGCTTCTAGAGTGTTGTACCCCTACAAACTTCATTAACCATGACGCCACTACTAATTTCACTACATACAAGTACATGTGTTTGAGTGTGTGAGTATTACGTCTCTACAGTTATTTGTTTATTGAACTTATTACAAGAGACCGATCGCGTTATCAATTGACTTGAAAAGTCACAGTAGCGAACAGATTTTGTGTAAGTTGTTATCACTAGATATCTAAAGCGAGTCCGGTGTGGTAAAATAAGTACACATAAAACAGGTGTAAAGACGCCAGCACCAAACATGCATATATCTGCACTATATAGCTATTGCTGTTGTTGTTTTTTTTAATTTTTTGTTTATTTATTGTTGTTTAGTTTAATTTAATTTCACTAAAAACACAATTTTCTCGCACCACTGCTTTGCTATTGTCACCGAACAGACGCAACTGATTCAAATCGCTCACTGCATTTAATTTCAATATATGAGTATATGATAGTGTACGTATATAATAATGTGTGCATACAGATATACTTATATACTCGTTCATAAACAAGTGATGAGAACTCGCATTGATTTCGGGAAAACTCGCGTACATACCGCGTAGGAAATGAGAGCATTGAGCCGCATTCATAACAGTTAAATTTATTGTTTTTATTTTGTTCGTCTCATCTTCAGCGCAACAAATTTTTCTAATACATTTACTAATTGTAAATAATACTAAATTTAAATTTGCCGTCTTTTTACGGATGCTTTGAAACCCAGATTTTCCTGACATTTAATCATCACAAGTGTCTGAAATTATATTTAATTACTGAAGAGCATATCTCTGCTTATTTAACTTTCACTACTACTACAGTGTTTTCTATGCTCAAAGGCTTTACATGGCAATAGGGAAGATCACTCGGTATTATACAGTGTATTTAGAGTTGCTAGCGAGAAATTTGAAACTACTTATCGACATTTTTTCAGTAACATAGAGGAAATATGGGCATTGCCCATTCGACGATTTTACCACTAAATTTTATACCTTGAACAAGTTTGTCACGAAGTTTGAACATCCAGCGGGAAATGTCGTTAAAGTATATATACGAGCGTGAAGAGCTGGTGGATTTGATGTCCGTCTGTCTGTATTATACGTGAAGTAGTCCATCAGTTTCTAAAAGAGCGTTCTGAAATTTTGCATATATACTTTCTTACCAAACAAGTTGCTCATACGTCAGAACCGCTGATAACGAACCACCGATCAAAATAAGACAAACATATTCTATACGCTTTTATGCCTATAAAAATGCAGCTTGGAAGGGAATTATAGCGTAGGCGCGCTAAAGTCAAGGTTTTTCTTTTTTTTATTAATACAAAGCCATTTCCCTAACGTAATACACATATTATTTATATTTATATGCAGTTCTTTGGTATCGCTTACAATTTGGATTCAACGTGAATGGCCAACACCATCATCCTCGTTTACCAATTGAAAGTTGGGCACGACCATCGCAGCCAACCACAATCGATTTTCCTGTACATGCAATTGAACCGGTCTTTTCCCGGAGATGATGTCACAGTAGGTGCCCGCTTGGCAAACAAGTCATGCAACGTGGTGTTCAAATTCGTATATGATCATTATTGAGCGCTATGAACCCTTTTGCCACGACAGAAGGCGTTTGGTTACTTGCCATTTCCCACAATTCTGTACAGTAGTACTCGATGCAATGTTTCGGAAGCCAACCATGTTGTAAATTACGCCAACAGTTGTTCTTTTTGAAATTTTGTTTGAGATACAAAAAATGGCGGGACGTTTGTTGTGCTTAGGACATCCAATATTGTGTTATAACATGGAAGGATCGTAATTAATTAATATTTTGCTTAGAAATTTTACCATCTTGATTCCCAAGGGTTATATTAATATCTCTTCTTGAAAACTAGTCTCTCTTTCTTCTCACATCCATAATCAAAAATCACCCGATGTCAAAATATGTAAATTTCTAATTAGATCCATTCTTTTCTATGTTTTACTCCTCAAGCGTTCATCAGTTTTTTGAAATTCAAGTGCATAAACTATTCTTTTCCGATCCATTTTTCGGCTTCGATGTTACAAATCAACAATACTAACTCTCGAATTTTTACTGCTCAAAGAAGATCACATTGTCCTTATGTGTTTAGAGGAATATATAGCTCCTGTGCTTTTTAAAGATTTAGGGAAGCAGCTATTAAATTATATTGATCTTTTACAATAATAGTTGAGCAATTTTAAGACAGAGCCCAGCCTGTCCAACTCCCATATTTAACTAATAACAAGTCTTTAAAAATTTTGTCTACAATAGATTGCGTCTACTTAATTTATTTCTTAACGTTTAGTATTAAATTATATATTGTACATTTCGTCGACCGTTATATGTACATGTTGTGTTTACAAGTTTACAGCAGTATCGCTGCGAACCACATTAAATCTTCACACACCTCCCACTCTAACTGATAGTATTTCTTGCCATTCGCCAACAGCCACAAATTCGCCAAGTGGATCGAACAAAAGTAGCAAGTTAAAATTTGTTATCTCCTCTCTTTTTTCGTCGCATAAAAAAGTTTTTCATACAAGAACTTGATTTTGAGCGTTTAGTTTGTATGGCAGCTATATGCTATAATTATCCGATTCAAATAATTTGTTTGAAGATTATAGCGTTGCCTTAAACAATAATACATGCCGAATTTTATGAAGATATCTCGTCGCATAAAAAAGTTTTTCATACAAGAACTTGATTTTGAGCGTTCAGTTTATATGGCAGCTATATGCTATAATGATCCGATTCAAATAATTTGTTCGAAGATTATAGCGTTGCCTTAAGCAATAATACATGCCGAATTTCATGAAGATATCTCGTCGCATAAAAAAGTTTTTCATACAAAGACTTGATTTTAATCGATAAGTTTGTATCATCTAGTCTTGTCTAGTGTCGCTTCTTAGGGAGAAAAGGACGTATGCAAAATTGCAGATCGATATCTCAAAAACTGAGAAACAAACTAGTTGTGAATATACAGATGAATACGGCTAAATATTATATATATATAATAGGTTATCCGACGTTTCCTACTGGGTGATAGAACAAAGAAATTACTACGTGATATTGGATACTTTACCTGCAAAAGAAACGCGCGATCGCGAAATTTGTAACCCAAATTCTCCTCCAATTTTTGATAATTTATAAGAAAACTGTCGACTTCCTTAGATGAAATGCTGGTTTGCAGCAGAGCGCTGGTGAAATTTAGATCCATCAAACGTGAGAAAGATTTACCTGGCTCTGGTTTGCATATGTCAAAGAATTCCAACATACGGAAAGTATTATAAATGCCATAATTTTTCACACAAACACCCAGTATAGCTTCCAATGTATCGGCCACGACTTTATCGCGCAATGCCTCTTTATATATAAACAAATTTAGTTCATTGTCTAAACGGCGCTCTTCTGCTGCTGGTCCATCGTCAATGCTATGCCTTTGGCTACCGCTAGCTATTTGGCTTAGACGCTCGCTTGTACAACTGCCATTGATAATTTCATCTTCATTCAATTCAATTGAATAGAGATCGCTCGGTGTTAAAGTCTTCTGTAATTGCTCGTTCGTGTTAATAAGTGCTAATAGATTGCTCGGTAGGCCGACTAGCGGTGGCAACCATTCATGTGGCGGCTTAAATAGATAGCCACTAATTCTTTCCGGTATATCGGTGCCGAGCATGCAATAGATAAGATTGCGATTCGATACAATTTTACCTTTGACTTCCGTTAAAAATCCCTCATGCCATTTTGGAAATTTATGCACCAAATAGAGAGAGACGGAAAACTTTAAAAATGAATCGCCCAAAAATTCAAAACGCTCCATATCGAAAACATCATTTGCGCCGGCTGTTGTTAGCGCTGCCAAAAAGTCTGCCTGTTCGGCAGATTGTAAGTTTTCACCGCTTAACGTTAGTTCCAATATATTTAAGTGGCGCTTATCAGACAAGGGAGCATCACACAATTTCAAGCGGCCGATATTCGTAGCGCTATCTAATGGTTCGAGCGTTTGCTTTTTTGGCATATCCAACTGGGACTCGGACCACTCCTCATCGTTCAAGGTCAAAGTGTCCAATATTGAACCGTTTATAAATTTATAGAAATAATCCAATTCAACCGGAAACATTGATTGTTGCTTGCGTGATATATCTTCGGGTTCTAGGTAGTCCTTCCACGACACATCATTTAAATTGGTCATCGTAAAGACGGTCTCTTTGGCATGAGTGGGCAGGGCAGGTAGTACTTTTTTCGGCTCCTAGTTAATTAATAAGACAAGTTTTATTATTACTCTAAAATATTTTTTAGCATATTTTTTTGTTAAGCGAAATAATTAAAAATAAAATTATGTAATATGGTATTAGATTTACATTTTCACACCGTTATAGTATAAATTTATTTACACACACCTGCGGCTCTTCCATAGCATTGCCATCCATATCAATAGCGCGCGATAACGATTCGTCGATCATTAATTTCTTCGGCTGATATGACGCGTTACATGCTATACCCAGAAATTTATTAACACGACGTCGCAAATCTTCGGCATGCAGCATAAAGTGAATGCGATGCAAAATGCTCGGTAATAATAATGCTTTGAGCCACATATCGCCGGGAAACATGAAGTTGTGACAAAGCTCCGGTATAAGACGTATAATGGAACTATTGTGATGCGATTTTGCTGATTTTCCGACAGCATTGACAAAAAAGTTTCTTCTAGAAGTTAGTGCGCATACTTCCAACATAAATTGCTCCTTTTGCACCACACAATCCACTTCATTCTTATATTTGGCATCGATAAAATCAATGTAACTGGAAAATTGATTGTTATCGAAAGCGCTTTGCGGCGTTAGTTCGGTTAGCACTTTGGTTACAACAAATCTTTGATTATCTCGCCCCGAATACCACTTATTAATCACCTTGCCTATATAATCCTCTGGTTTATGAATTTTTTTTTGCCTTTCGCTGACACTGTATCTACGTTGTGGCAAGAGGCGTTGAAAGTTTTGCACCAATTCCCAATCGAGTTTACCGTTATTGAGTGGTACTATAAGATATGCGTTCTCTTGATTGCGCCGATCCAACACTAGAAAACTTTTCCAGCACTCCAATATATCACGGAAGATCATCAAATGGAATTTGGCTAGTTGTTTTAGTTGTTGTTCACTAGTTATTGTTAATGTGAGCGGTTGTTCGGCAATTTTTACAGATAGTTTACCCTGATTCATGAAGAGTGGCATTTCAGCGAGCGCTGGCATTCGTTTACGTGTCAAAATTGCATAGTTACAATTAGTATTTAATAGTGTTGCTATATGCTCTGTATAACTGTCGGCTTTAAATTGCGGATATGCACGTATCTCGTATGCATAGCAAATTTCGTTGATCTGTGGTACAGCATTGTAGAGTTCGTCTGGATATTTGTGATTGTAGAGACGGCGTTGTTGTTTTCCCGCAGTTTTGGCAGTGACTGTAGTTGAATATATTATATTAAATATTGTATAATATTAAGGTTAGGTTATACTGGCAGCGGCATAGGTGGTGTACTAGCGTCTCTCTGATGCCTGCTTCTCTACACTTTGTGCATGTAACGTCGTTACTTATGCCCATACGGCGCGCATATGATGCTAGTAGGTTATGACCTGTCAAGAGTTCAACAAACGTCGTGCAGTCCTTTCGAGACCGTGTGAGTAAAAAGCATGCGATTTTTTTTATGGGGCTCTTGCACATGATGTGATATTAAGCGCAAATAAGAAAAAAACGTTAACTTTGGCTACAATGAAGCTATAATAGACTTCACCAATGCATTTTTTCTAGCATAAAAGGGCTTAAAAGAACTTTAGCTCGATTTTCATCAAGTCAGTTTGCAAGGCAACAATATGCTACAGTGATCTGATCTGAACAAAATGTTCGGAGATTGTAGCCTTGCCTTAAGCAATTATCTGTGCCAAATTTCGTGAAGATATCTTGTTAAATAAAAAAGTTTTTCATACAAGAACTTGATATTGAGCGTTCAGTTCGTATGGCACATATATGCTATAGTGATCCGATCCGAACAAAATGTTCGGAGATTGTAGCCTTGCCTTAAGCAATTATTTGTGCCACATTTCGTGAAGATATATTGTTAAATAAAAAAGTTTTCAATACAAGAACTTGATTTTGAGCGTTCAGTTTGTATGGTAGCTATATGCTATACTGTTCCGATAACGGCGGTTCTGAGAAATAAGCAGCTTCTTAGGGAGAAAAGAACGTGTGCAAAATTGTATAACGTTATTCTCAAAAACTGAGGGACTTGTTAGTGTATATATAATTATTTAAATTTAGTAATTTAAATCTAGTAATTTAATCGGTCTAAGTAGCGTATCAACCACCCCAAAATACAAATAAGTTACACATTTTTATACAATCATGCATTTCACTTACCATTGTCATTGAATTTTTTCCAATGGCTAAAGAGTTCTTCCGACACCTTGGCAACACACTCCGTTTTTGTCACCGGCAATAAACGCTCATTAAGTTCGCCTTGCTCGTACAATATTTTGCATGCTTGAAAAGCTGCTGAGATTTGTGCCTGTTTGGCTGTAGGAAATTCCTCGCTCTATAAACAATATGGCAGATATAAAAAAAAAATTAAATACAAAAAAAAAAAATATTTAAATAACTATTTTAAAAACGATATGAACAAACAGCAAATAAAAATAATAGCTTTAAGTTTGCTTATTCATATGTACATATGCTTTTCCTACGCACCATTATTGTGTATTTTATTGAAGATTGTAACGGCATATGCAGTGTTACACGTATCTTATTGCCCGTTGATGTTTGTTTCGTAAACCACGGCGTTGATAAGCCAAATGCATCACTAGGTAGTAGAGCACAGTAACGATATAATAGCGATAGCGCATTCGAAGCCAATAAATAGGCACCGCTTTGCGTTCTAAATGGTGTAATCAGATCTTCAAATTGTTCAGCAATATTTTGTTCTTTTGGTTCATCTCGATCCAAAATGCGGCCAATCAAGAAATTCTGTATGATTTTATGCGCTTCTTGATAGCTTTTGATTTTTTGTACCACAGCTGCTTCCTCCAATTTTTGTGTGAATATAGCATATAAGGCGTCACTAGAACGCGCTCGCCCTTTTGTCTGCACGTATGAATTAAAAGTCTTTAATGGATCATAAGCGAAAACATAATTGCAGGCCTGTACATCAATACCCTCTTCAAGTACATTCGAACAGACGAGTAAATTGCAATCGCCATTGCGAAAGCTTTCGATAGCCTGTAAATATAGATTGAACTTGTCAGTTTTTTATTTTTAATTTTTTTTATTTTTTTATTTTTTTTTTTACTTTTCACACATAATGTACATATGTATGAATGCATAGCAGAAGCCGAGGCAAAGTTTAAACACACACTTTAAAACATATACGTAAATATTTCAATAATATACATATATAATATTCAACAATAAACACGATATTGTTGTATCAGCAGAATTTCTTGTGCATATACTTTGCACATACTCCATATGTACATATGTATGTACGTATATATACATGTGTGTATCTATAATGTACATAATTATAAATTTACCTTATTGTTCCACTTTTGATAAAGAAGACTTTCTATGCTTGCTACAACCGCATTTCGTCCTACCATAAATTGTGGACGTAAAGATTTACTCAGTATTGGCTCCAAATTAATATAATGTTGCAGTACAAAGTATACGCACTTGGCTGTGTACCGACGCTCAACGAATATCAAACAATGTATGTCAGCTGGATTTTTATTTGAAAATAGTTCTTTTGTTAAAAGCAGTAGTGTACGCATTTTTGGTGTTGAATAGTTGAATATAATATCTATGGTGTTGTATGCGTCATCTGGATCAGTAGTTTCTTCTTTCATTTCATTGATAATCATATGACGTATTTTTTCGCATATACTGATTACATAACGGTAAAGGTTACGCAAAGCCATTGTTTCGGCTGCACGTTTTTTAAGTTCGAATTCTATTATTGGTGACATTATAGCTATAGCCGCTGCATATAAGCCGAATTCATTCATTTGGTATAAGAAATCACTTAGGAGATTTGTTATAAAAACCTTTTTATTCGGCTGTCGTAGACTACCCAAATGTTTGGATTGCTTTACTTTAATTGCGCCTAAATCCCATTGATTGACCATGTTAATACATTCAGTGATAATCTGTTTGATCGTTTCAATTAAATTAAATATATGCGTTTGCATTGTATATGCTACGAGTTTTTCTGTGGGTTTCGTTGAATATCTGTTGTAAAATGTTTCATAAATTAACATTTGTAATAAGAATTGGATATTGTTTCTATATGCTACTTACGTCATTACGTTCTGATATTCTTCTATGGTACTGACTGTGACGATTTTACCGTGGAAAATGGCTTCTAAATTTTCCAGCTCTTCACGTATTTTGTTCAGTTTGTTACCCTTTAATAAGACGCCTGTCAAACCAATCACCCGCGGTAATTGTGATTTGTTAGTGGCCATTCTATAATGTCTCATAAACTCATGCATGGGATGATTATTTCTTGCATGGTGACATTCGTCAATTATAACAACACTTAAGTCAGTAATTTTAATAAAATTCTGTGAGAGCATATCAACGAAAATTTGCGCTGTGCCAACAAGAACCTAAAAAAATTGGCAATGCTGTTATTATTTCAAACTTAACAAGAAAAAATGTTAACTTCGGTTACACCGAAGCTAGAATTGATCGTTCAGTTTGTATGGCAGCTATATGCTAAAGTGATGCGATCTTAAAATATTGTTCGAAGATGTAGCGCTGCTTTGAATAATATGTTGTGTCAAATTACGTGAAGATATCTTGTCAAATAAACAGGTTATCCATACAAATACTTGGTTTTAATCGTTCAGCTTATATGACAGCTATATGTTATATTGGTCCGATTTGAAATTTTTGTTGCGGATTGCAGCGTTGCCTTAAGCATATTTTGACAAATAAAAAAGTTTTCCGTACTATGAACCTGATCTATATTTCAAAAACTGAGCGACTAGTTCTTACATATATACAAACAAACAGACAGATGAACAGACGGACGGACGCTTATCATTTAGCTTCCTTTTGGGTGTTACAAACTTCATGTCAAACTTAATATACCGTGTTCAGTGTATAAATATAAAATATTTATGATTGGTCAGCTAACATACTTGATTGATTTTGATTTCATCATTCCACTTCCTCGGAGACCAGTTATCTACGTCACGCTCTCCTACATAGAAACCGACACTTAAGTTAGTGCATCGTTTCAACTCAATAGCTTGTTGACGTGCTAATTCAACGGTATTGCACATAAATATCGCCCTTTTGCCACCATTTTCTATTGTTCTAAATGAGTATTCAGGGAATAGACATATACGATCATACATATTCTTACAAAATATATGTATATTGCATTTAACTCACTCTTGCATTTTATGTGAAAAACGTTTGAGAGCCATTATAGCAATGTACGTTTTGCCTGCGCCAGTAGGAAGATATATTATAGCATTCCGTTGCATGACATAATTTAGGAGTTCCATTTGATATCGCCTGGGCTCCATTACATCCTTATCGCTAATCTGCTAAAGCAAATTAGTGATAATTACTTCAAAAATGTACATATATTTGTTTCCCAACCGGTAAAATACTTACATTCGTATTGACACTAGCCATTACTATTTTTATATTTAGGATTATTTATTTTAATTTAATTTAAAATATTTTCCGCAAACCAACATATAATCGGCACTACTGCTGCAAATATTATGAAATTGCTTTAATGATACAACAAAAAATGCACCGAAGTTCAGTAACTGGATCGACTTACGTGGCTTTCACGAACAGGGAGGACGAACTTGTGTTTGTATGTTGATCAAATTTATTGCTTGAATGTAAATATGCATATAATTTGAACGAATTTGGTGATTTCCCTATTTATAGTACAATAATTCAATGGAAGAAAATCAAATGCTTTGACAATGGGTAGAAAAATTTATATTACCAGACTTTCATTTCTCTAAAAAAAAAAACTTTCAAAATGAACAGCTGATCTAAAGATTTATTTAAAACGTTCAAGTTGTTGTTGTTGTTGTTCAAGTTCTTTATTATCTATTAATTAAAATAAAATTCTATCTATCTATTAATTAAATAATATATTGTTAGTTTTCAATACTCGTTTAAAACCATTAATTCAACGCAGAATAATTGTTAGATAATAATATTATGTGCGCTTATTACAAATGAAATATTTCAGTAAGTAAAATTTCAATAAAACCATGTATTTAATAATGTCGTTCGTCTCTAATATTATTTTGCATAACTTTTATATGCAATATTTCAAAATTTGTATAATATACTACTGAATGCACCTCTGAGTGTATAGACTCATATCGTTGATTGTCGAATGCAGTCATCTGAAATTATTTATTTACGATATCGCGAGAATAAGGTAAGAGACAAAAACAATCAACTAAATTTATGTTTTTGTAGGGAAATAAATTACAAAAGGCAAAATAAATCAACGAAAAGTAATTAAAACATATAATTTCAGTGGAGCAAAATTGTATAATACCAAAATATTTTGACACTAACTTACAGACAAAAAATAAATACAAATTCTTTAGACGTGTGCAACGTTTTGGTAAACAGCAGTTCGAAAAATCAACAAATTGTGCAGAAGAGTGGAGTATAAGAGGGCGTGTTCCCCGTACAACTTTTTCCGCTATGGTTGGAATTATTGACGATACTTGTTTGCACTATCCCATTGGCACGCGTATTAAAGTTGGCGAAAATTATGGAACAGTTAGATATGTCGGTGAAGTATGTAAAATATTTATATAATTTTTATTCAGTGACATTAAAATAGATTTTCTTACAGGTAACAGGCTACAATGGCTCATGGTTGGGAGTAGAATGGGATGATCCTCAACGTGGCAAACATAATGGCTGTGTAAATGGCAGACATTACTTCCATACACAGTACCCCAGTGCTGGTAGCTTTGTGCGTCCAGGTAAAATTGGTCCCTTCGAATCACTTGAAGAGGCAGCTAGAGAACGATATTTAGATTACTCAGCCGAAAATAGCGTAGATTTGTCGTTGATACGCGAAGCTCAAGAAAAAATGCAAGCTAGTTTCTTTGAAGTAGTGGGCATGGATAAGATAGCGCGTAAGCAAAGTAAATTTGAACAACTGTCGGAAGTGAGTGTTGATAATTGCCCAATCAATGAAGCGGGTTACTTGAAGGATTTTCAAGTACTCACCACATTAAATATTAGTTCGACACTTATTTGGAATTGGAAAATTGTCGCTGATATTTGCAAACAAGTGCCGACTTTGATGGATTTGAATTTAAGGTATGTTGTCAGTAAATTTCCTCCTAACTAAAACTTGAAAAACCCTCTAAGAAAATTTAGCTATTATTTTCGACAATATTTTGTAGTATTATATATAAATTCTATGTAACAGCTGTAATCGCCTCGTATTGCCGACGGATTCACTAATTAAGGAACTAGAACCTGCATTCAGGAATTTGAAATGCATTAATCTACGTAATTGCGGTTATAATGATTGGGCTAAAGTGATACAGACTGCTAAATTGTGGCCGCAAATAGAAGTTTTGGCTCTCCAAGAGAATCCGTTAACCGAACTAGCTGAGATTAATAGCAACGAAGTCTTCAAAGCCCTAAGGTATGTAATAAGGATTATAGCTATAAGTTAAATAAAGAAAAAATATATTTATGGCATGGTTTATGGTTGCTAAACAATCCTGTTTCTCTAATTAATTGTGTAATTTCCAATTAAAATATCATTACTATAGAGAACTGGATTTACATCGTACAAAAATTATGGATTTTGACCAAGTATGCAAATTAGGAAATATCAGAACACTGAAAACATTAAATCTTATGGAAAATGGCATTGAAGAAATTAAGCTACCTGACTGTGAACCGAATGCAAAACTTCATATATTTGAAGCTTTAGAACAACTCAATTTACTCTATAATCCCATATGGAATGAAGCAGAAACGTTTAATGAGTTAGATAAGTTGCCTTGCTTGAAACGTCTTAATAAAACACCTCACTTAAAATCTGATTTTGATGAGATGTTTTCTAAAGCTGTCGGCATGATAATGAATCTAGAAATGCTTAATAAGATTGAAGTAACCGGTGAAGCGCGCCGTGATGCCAGCTACGATATTTGGAAGCGCTATGCTACGGAATGGTTGCAAGCAGCTGACAAACCGGAGCTTTTACATGATTTCTATAAAAAACACCGGTCATATGCGGGTATAATACAAAGTTAGTAGTATACATATATCTTTGATTTCTGTTATCCACATTCAATAGTATTTCATATTAATATTAAACGTAAATATTTATAGAATATGGTTCACCGGCAGAGTTTGTGGTACGTCCTAATGTTAAGCAATCCAATTTAATTAAAATTCGTGTACTCAACCAACAAACCGGAGCAATTTGGGAGAAACGTGTACCGCGCATGATAACAGTACAAACCTTGCAGGGTCTAGTGGCGAAACATTTTCAAACGGTAATGAACGTTAATGGCAGTTTACCGCAGCTTACCTATATTGATGCTAAATATCCAGAACTAATGGTGCCGATGGACAATAGCGCCAAAACGTTAGATTTCTACAGTGTTCAGGATGGAGACACGGTTATTGTGAAATAATAATGTAATTTAAATAACTTGCATATTAATCTAATTATTAAAATTTATGCTTTGTTATTTTTTTTTTTAACATAATTGAAGTGCAAAATTATTTTATATAATTATATTATTAACAACTTTATGAAACTGAATCAATTTCCCTTTTTTATATATTATTTTTATTTGATACTTATAAATTATTTGGCCTTTATAAAGCATAACTGTTTGCTACAAAATAATCTTGTTTCAATGCAGCAATAATTAAAAAAATATATTATTTGACAGGTAAATTAAATTTCGTATAATTTCTTTAACCGTAGGTACATAGTATGTATTAGCTATGATTACGACGGGAAAAACGCAGTTTAACAAATATAAAAAAATCAATCTTTTTGGCGAATTTCTATCCGGTTTGGCTACGTTAATTGTAGCTTGAGTCATTTTTTTAAGTTTGAATTATTCATATGCGTAAAGTGCGACTTCCGTTTGCTTTGAAAATTCGTATTGGAGAGTTTTTGTTGCAAGCAATTAAATTTTGACATTATTTTGGTGATCTTGTCATACAAATGTAGGCATTACCCATTACGTGCAAAGCGTTTATATTTATAAAAAATATTACAAAAATTGATGAAAATAAGTTGTTGTGTATTATAATATTAAATTTCTAAAATTTCACTGCTATCACAGCAAAACGACGTGTTTTAATATTTACACATAATTAATTTTATGATATGACTTAACACTGAAACATTAATCATCTCCCAGCAACAGAGAACGTATATTATATTATTTATGATATATAGCCAGCAACAGCATTTATTGTGAACTATTGTTTTTCGTAGACTTTCGTAAATGTCAGTGTAGAAAGAATGAAGTCTCCAATGAATTAGTTTTACTGCAACATTTATAAGTTTTTGTGTGAAGAAAAATATCGTTTTTGTTATTTCATAAATATTGGCATTTTTATTTAGTACATATACAATTACCATTTCTATTTGTTTAAATGTGATCGTAACGACCATTATCAAAACTAGAAAAATAATATAGTTGCATGCACTGTAGTTGCAACGTAGTTCTTTAATCGAAGTTATTAACACATGCAAGAGACAACAATCGGAAGAATAATAAAGTAACGTGACATTTTTTGTGTGTGAAATTGGAAATAAACCTATTAGCATAAAAATAAAAAACAGGCTAAACGAAAAACAGAATGTCGGAATCGTATGGTATGTTGTTTGGCATTGAATCACTAATTGTGAAGTTCATGCGTATACTTGTATGTAGTATATGTGTGTGTTATACAAATAAATATACATTTATTTACATTGGTTGATTTTCCTGTGTTGCAGATTATCTTTTTAAATTCCTAATAATTGGCAGCGCAGGAAGTGGCAAAAGCTGTTTGCTACATCACTTCATCGAGAATAAGTGTAAGTTTTGGCAATGTTTCGTAGGTGTTTTGCAATACATAGGTGAAATGTGCGAAGTAGCATTAGTATAAATAATTACTTGCAATTATCCACTCTGTATATATGTATGCCCATTTGCAAGTATATGTAAGCATTACTTTTGTTTACATCTACTTGTATAATATATAATAAAGAATTGCTAAATATGATATTATATAAATTGCAGTTAAAGATGACAGCTCCCATACGATTGGTGTTGAATTTGGTTCGCGTATTGTGAATGTTGGTGGTAAATCGGTGAAATTGCAAATATGGGATACAGCGGGACAAGAGCGTTTTCGATCTGTAACACGTTCATATTATCGTGGTGCCGCTGGTGCTCTGCTGGTGTATGATACAACATCGCGTGATTCCTTTAATGCTCTCAGCAATTGGTTGAACGATGCACGCACCCTAGCCAGTCCGAATATTGTTATACTATTGGTGGGTAATAAAAAAGACTTGGAAGATGAGCGCGATGTTACATTCTTGGAAGCAAGTACTTTTGCACAGGAGAATGGTAGTAAAACTAGAATAGATATCTTAATAACATATATTAATATTGCTTGATTTACAGAATTAATATTTCTTGAGACAAGCGCTAAAACCGGAGAAAATGTTGAAGAGGCTTTTTTGAAATGTTCAAAAACTATTTTAGCAAAGATCGAAAGTGGTGAATTAGACCCTGAACGTATAGGCAGTGGCATTCAGTATGGTGGTGCCGCACTACGAAATCTACAAACAAGACAGCGAAGCATTAGTAAACCAGACTGTGGTTGTCGTGTCTAATTAGATGGCGGAGCACGTCGTAAATTTATTTCTATAATCTCATATTACAACTTTATTATATGTAGAGTGTGTAAAAGTTAAAAAAATTGTGAAAAACGCAACTGATTGAAGTGATGGCAGACGTACGCAATATAGGCATTGTGTGTAGTTATATAAAACAGTAATATATACATACGTATTTCAAATGTACATATATGTATTGCAATTAGACTAAGCCAAAAGTATAAATAATATCGAATTATGTAAATGCTCATTGTTGTACTTTCCATTGTGGTATATTGTTATACTTTCAACAATTAAATCAATAATCATTCCCAATTTTAAAAGCACGTTACTTGCCAATTTTCCAAATTTTTACAAAATTTCGATTTGTTGATATTATTTATATATAACCGATTTATATGCTTATTGATTTCTGGTTTTACTCAGTTTTACATCTCTTGAAAATAAGTAGTCCTACGACATCTCTTGGTTTTAAATACTGATTTATTATGATATTTTACACCATATTCGCATATAATTGTATAATGTTAAGGAAATAGAAAATTAAGTAATTTTTTTGTAAATACCAGAAATTATACAAAATCTTCATGAATAAACGAAATTAAGATCATGACAACCTTTAAAGCGCAAGAGTAATTTTTTTTTGTTGGTAATTTGGTTGATAATTTATGTAGCTTCTCAGATTATATTCAATTCTTTGTGCTTGCTGTCACCCGATGTCCCCTTAAATGATAATAATACACATTTTGATTTAAAAATAGTTTGCATATATTTATAAAACGGTGTAAATGTGTGCTAAGCAGTACAAAATTGCACAAATACTATATTCAACTAAAAAATGTTTGCTAGTTAATCAACTTTTTTAACATCGCCATTTGTGTTATCAGTGTAACTTTGATAACAGTTCACCATATCTTTCGCTTTATAGCTGTAGAGCTTCTTACGACTTTCCGCGAAATTCTAAAAAAATTATGTGTTTATTAGTATTTTGAAACATTTCAATTTATATCTCTTGCATACGCTTAAATCACCGGCAATCAATGTCCATAAATATACAAAAGCAGCTGGTATAACGCTGACAATAATGGCGAATTCAAAATTGGTGAACGTTTTAAACATTTTGCTTCTGTATTAATTATATGTAGTATTAGGTGCAATTAAAAATTTTGTCAGCACTACGTGATTTTTTGTAGGTTTTTTATGCCAATTGAATTTGTATATATGTAGTTGGTTTTAAGTGGGAGGGAAGTTTAATTTTTACGAATAACAATTGTGTCACCTCTCAGCTGTTTGCTATAAAACCGATCGTTCACGATTGTAAAAGAAATTTGTCATACACAACAAAAAAAAAAATTATAATAACTTATTAGTTTTGTATTTGTGTTTTAAAAGTAATAAATTTGAGTCAATACTGTAAACGTTCTATAGAACAGTTTAAAGGTTTAAACCTAACTAATACCAAAATTTTGGTTTTATTGTTAATAACTTCGTCACCGTTCACAACAATAAAATTCACAATAGGTGCCAATCATCAATAAAAGCACCGAGGTTAACATTATATTTGACGTCTGCTCAGTCGAAGATTTTCGTGATCTAAAAATTTATAGTTCTTCTTGACCTGTGCAAATCAAATTTTAACAAAATGAGGATTCCATTTGGCAAAAAGCATGCTGAAATCGCCACTTCCTTGTAAGTTTCTTATGAGACTTTATTTTTATATATAATTAACATACATACCGTACATTTTGTGCCGCAAGCAAATTCTGTCTCAACATTGCATAATCAATAAGCGTATAAAATTTTAATTAAAAAATTATTTGTAATGTGTTTATTGCCTTATAATTAATATTACTTTTTTAGCGTCTCATCGGCGGCAGGATTTGGTGGCGCAGCGGGGCTTGCTTTACTCTACATGACAGATTGGAAATTGGTGCTGCAATACCTGCCAATCTACAACACGAAATTTGACAAATCCGAATAAACTGTTTGCTGCTATTGGAAAAACATTTACATTTTTCGCTCTATCCTTATGTTGTTCATAAATCTAAAGTAACTTACATTATGCACGTAATGTGTTCTAAAATAAAGTAGTGTGGAAGTTTCAGTGAAATGTACAATGTACAGCACAAATGCTTGTTTGTTTTTATTAAGTTGCTGAAGCTATTTCGGCTAAGAACGACCGAAATGTACAAAAAAAAAAACAGGAATGAAAGGAGGTGATATGCTTGTGATTTGAAACAAATTTTCCCGATTGGAAAAGAATTTATTACGTATTTCGGAGTGAAGCTGTTCTAATATTTTTGTTACTGTTTTACAAGCGAATAGCGTTTAGAAATGTCATTGGGAAGACAATGTTGTTGTTGTAGCGGCAGAATTCTGGGAAGACAATCCTTATCCATGGTACAAATGAAACAATTTTGGTTGTTAGTAAATCTTTTATTTTTCCTACATAAGGAAAATTGGTAATAAAAGTTCTAATTAACTATTTTACTTAAAAGTTGTAATTTAAGTTTATACATGGTGTAAAAACATTTGCATTCGTATCTATATATATATATACATATGTATGAATGCATGTATTAGTTTGTATAAAATTACATAGTAAAAAAGTATAAAAAATGGCAGGATACTTTCTGATTCGAGAGTGTTACTTCTTTAAAGTACAAAACTGTTTGTTCACATTGTGTTAGGCGAAATATGCTCGAGAATTAAAGGAGCTGTGATTTGCCTTTTCAAATTATTGCTTAAATCATCTTTCGTTTAAAAGTATTTAACTTACATTTTATTTAAATTTATATTTATGTATTGTATAACAAAAATTGTGCGAATTCATTATTAATGTGTAATGTGGACAACCATAACCTAACATCTAGTAAATGTACTTAGTTTTTTTTATATGTACTATGCTTTTCAAAAATATGCGTATTAAATTAGTTATACTAAGCAGATTCGTTAGTTACTTATGCATATAATATATAATTATTTATAAGCTATTTAACTTTCTTTTAGGTTACAAGAAAAGTATTTTTGTTTACAATATTTGATCAAAAATATGAAACTAATTTTATAGTAAATAGTTTGTTTAGATCTTTAATTCGCCTTCATACATCAATTACTTCTACTACTAAAACAAAAAAAAAAAAAATAGCTCGCCCCATTGACTAAAAACCAACAACATCAGAAGAACGCGTGTATGTCTTTTACAAACAGAAAATTAGAACTTATTATAATTAGCTCAATTACTCAGTTAGTCACCCTACCTTTATGTTTATACATGTATGTATTTTTTATTGTAATTTAATAATTAACTTTCACAAAGTTTCAAAAAATTTTGTTTTCAACAATAGGTAAAACTATAAAGAAATCTGTGGTCATCGACCAGCGATTAATTGCTAATTTTTAACGAAATTTAATAAAAATATATATGCTTGTATAAGTATATGTATGTATGTATAGCTTGTACATTCTAGCAATCAATATTCTTGCGATATACTGGGATAGACTAAGAAATAATTAAAAATATATATATAAATATTAAAAAAAAATAAAAATGTAATAAAAAGTAAATGACAAAAAAAAAGTAATAAATACAGAAATAAAAAAAAAATTAAAAAATAATAATAAAATAAAAAATTAATAATAAAAAAAAAAATAAATAAATAAAAATTAAATAACTAAAAAAATTAAATTAAAAAAAATATAATAATTAAATAAATAAAAAAAATTAATAAAAATCTTAAAAAAATAATAAAACTATGAAATGGCAAAAAAATAATAAATAAAGAAATAGAAAAAATAAATAAAAAAATAATAATAAAATAAAAATTAAGAATAAAAATTAAAAAAAAATAAAATAACTAAATAAAAAATTAATTAAAAAAATATTAAATTAAAAAAAATAAAAAAAAAAAAAACATTAAATTAAAAAAAATAAATAAAATAAAAAAAAAATGATTAAAAATCTTAAAATAATGATAAAACTAAATGAAAAGAAATTACTGCAATCGATTATTACGTATCGATTATAAAATTTCAATGAAGTGATTAAAGATTTTGATTGCCTTCACAAAACTTATCTTTAAAATTTGCATATTGGCTGTGAATGCATAATCGAACATTGGGTGTGTTAACTTTAAACTTTCTAAACTACCGTAATTACTTTCTAACGTATTGTGCAACAATATAACGAAAAACAAACTTAGTGACATTTCGTTGATAACTTTGACTTATTTGAGATTCCCAATTATATTCCCGTTCTCCTTTTGCTGATTTATATATCTGGCTCAACGAATGATGCTGGAAACAGACCTGTCTTATTGGTGCGCGCATGCGTGCCTTTGTACCAACCATTTTTTTGACGACGTTGCACATAAATTATATCGCCTACTTGTAATTCCAGCTCTATTTCACTATTAGGTGGATATGGAACTACACATCTGAAACGGCTGCAACATATGTACATACATACATATATATTTGTAAATAAAAAAAAAAAGCAAAAACAAGTAGTTCTATATATATATACCTTTCGCGTGAGCACTGTGTGGACTTGGTGGTCGCACTTGCAGCAACAGCCGCTGCTGTTATATTGCATGGCGCAAGCAATGCTGTCAGCCCACTATTGCTACCGCTGATAGCGCCATAATCGTTACTGGTACTAGATAAAGCGGCTGCTGCATCTAAGCTATGTGATTTGCGGTGATTTGTAGTTATTGTATTTGTTGGAATTATTTGATGTTGTTGTTCGCCAACACCTTTAGGTGTGTTAGAAAGTGTTTGTTGTTGTTGTGGTTGTTGGGGCACCGATGCATTATAAATGCTACGCAAGGTAGCATTGTCCATAGATTGGCGTGCGCTGAAAGCGAAAGCAAAAGCAAAAAATTAATAAAATGGAAAAATATAAATATATTGACATAGTTGCTTTACTTTTGCAGGTGTGGACGTTCTTTTGGGCCTCTCAACTGCTGTGATCCATAGCCCACACTTTGTGCTGCGTTTTGTTGCATTTGTGCTTGTTGTTGATGTTTTTGTTGCGTAGAATGTTGCTGTGTCGTGTGCATATTCTCTTGAATTTGTGCCATTGCAGACGTATTTGCAGCAGTTGCCGCGAGCGCTGTGGGGTCATTTGGTAGACTCTGCAACAATTGGCTAGGACAGGAGCCAGAGCTGTGCCGAAAATTATATTAATTAATTTCTTTTTGATTAAAATTAAATTTTATTTATTTATTTTATGTCTTATTTAAATGTCAATAACTAAATTTGTTGACAAAAGCAATGTTCTTGAGTTATGTATAATGACAGTAGTTTGACATAAAAAAAAAAAAAAAAAAAAAAAATAAACAACAAAAAAATAATTAAAAAAACAATAAAAACAATAAAAAAAACAATAAAAAGAAACAATTAAAAGGAAAACATTAAAAATAATACATACAAAAAAAAAAATTTTTTAAAAAGTAAATACAACAAGTAAGGAAGAGCTAAGTTCGGATGTAACCGAACATTTTATACTCTCGCAAAGTCAAATGGTATACTCGTTTGAGATTTCTTTGTGGATTGACTGATATTTTCGGTAGAAGGTCAACTATAGGCACTGGGTCCACATATTTAGTACCTAGGGCTTGAACAGTTTTGTTCGATTTAGAAAATTTTGGTCACAAGGTGGCATACTTTAAACGTATTATTCACGCAAAGTTTTACGCTGATATAATCATTGTTGCTTGATTTGCATAGTGGAAAGTGAAAGAATCAAGTGGTATTTAAAATGGTGTCTTATGGAAAATAGGCGTGGTTGTAATCCGATTTCGCCCATTTTCGCACTATGACATAGAAACATGAAAAGAACGTTACGCACCGAATTTGGTTGAAATCGGTTGAGCAGATCTCAAGATATGGGTTTTCACCTAAAAGTGGCTGCCACGCCCACTGTCTAATTTTGAACGCGGTTCCTATAAAGTCATCTTATACCAACTCAGAGATAAAATTTAATGTCTCTGGCGTGTTTAGTGCTTGATTTATCGCGCTTTTAGTAGTTTTTAACAGTACCGTTATATGGGGAGTGGGCGGAGTTGCCACCCGATTTCAACTATTTTCACACCGTCAATAGAAGTGCTAAAACATTTGCTTCCAGTGAATTTTATTTATAGCATTAGCGGTTTAGGAGATATGCACATTAAACCTATTAGAGGCGGGACCACGCCCACTTTTAAAAATTTTAACTGCAGATGCCCCTCCCTAATGTGATCCTGTGTACCAAATAACAGTCTTGTATCTTATTGCGGAGCTTAGTTATGGCAAGTTATTTGTTTTTGATTAATGGCGTTTTGTGGGCGTGGCAGTGGTCCGATTACGCCCATCTGCAATACCAACCGTCTCACGGTACCATGAAACATGTCTACCAAGTTTCATAAAGATATCTCAATTTTTACTCAAGTTAGAGCTTGCACGGACGGACGGACAGACAGTCACCCGGATTTCAACTCGTCTCTTCATCCTGATCATTTATATATATATAACCCTATATCTAACTCGATTAGTTTTAGGTGATACAAACAACCGTTAGGTGAACAAAACTATTATACTCTGTAGCAACAGGTTGCAAGAGTATAAAAATAAAGTTGTAAAACAAGTAAATACAAAAAAAAAATTACAAAAAAAAGTAAATAAATAAAAAAGTTAATACCAAATAAAATAAAATAAAAAAGTAAATACAAAAGAATATAAAATTAAAAAAAAATTAATAAATAAATAAAAAAGTAAATACAAAACAAAATAAATAAAAAAAGTAAATACAAAACAAAATAAATAAAAAAGTAAATACCAAACAAAAAAAATAAAAAAGTGAATTGTAAAACAAGTAAATACAAAAAAAAAATTATAAAAAAAAGTAAATAAATAAAAAAGTTAATACCAAACAAAATAAAATAAAAAAGTAAATACAAAAGAATATAAAATTAAAAAAAAAATAAATAAATATAAAAGTAAATACAAAACAAAATAAATAAAAAAAGTAAACACAAAACAAAATAAATAAAAAAGTAAATACCAAACAAAAAATTTAAAAAAGTGAATTGTAAAACAAGTAAATTCAAAAAAAAAAAATTATAAAAAAAAGTAAATAAATAAAAAAGTTAATACCAAACAAAATAAAATAAAAAAGTAAATATAAAAGAATATAAAATTAAAAAAAAAATAAATAAATATAAAAGTAAATACAAAACAAAATAAATAAAAAAAGTAAA